AGAGAGGCACCAATGTAGGTGGTGAACCCCATCCGAGATGGTGTCTAGATTGGCTCTGGTGGTTCTAGATTCTGCGGCGGCTGGATGAATATTTCGTCGACTCCTCTAGGGTTTTGGGAATATTGGGGTATTTATAGAGCAAGGAGACGGTCGGGGGGCACCAGAGGTGGGCACAACCCACCAGGGCGTGCCCTGGTGGGTTGTGCCTCCCTCGGGGCACCCCCTAGGCGTAGCCAGGGCCCGTTGTGTTCCTTCTGGCCCATAAAAAATCTCCTTAAAGTTTCGTGGCATTTGGATTCCGTTTGATATTGATTTTCTGTGATGTAAAAAACATGGAAAAAACAGCAACTGGCACTTGGCACTATGTCAATAGGTTAGTACCAAAAAATGATATAAAATGATTATAAAACATCCAAGATTGATAATAAAACTGTATGGAACAATAAAAAATTATAGATACATTGGAGACGTATCAAACATCTCTATGTTGATCATATCTACTATATGATTCACGTTCGACCTTTCGGTCTCCAGTGTTCCGAGGCCATGTCTGTACATGCTAGGCTCGTCAAGTTTAACCCAAGTATTCCGCATGTGCAAAACTGTCTTGCACCCGTTGTATGTGAACGTAGAGTCTATCATACCAGATCATCATGTGGTGTCCCAACACGACGAACTGTAGCAACGGTGCATACTAAGGGAGAACACTTTTACCTTAAAATTTAGTGAAGGGGTCATCTTATAATGCTACCGCCGTACTAAGCAAAATAGGATGCATAAAAAGATAAACATCACATGCAATCAAAATATGTGACATGATATGGCTATCATCATCTTGTGCTTTTGATCTTCATCTCCAAAGCATCGTCATGATCTCCATCGGCACCGGCTCGACACCTTGATCTCCATCGTAGCGTCGTGGTCGTCTCGCCAACTATTGCTTCTACAGCTATTGCTAACGCATAGTGATAAAGTAGCCGCATGTGATAAATCAATTACATGGCGCTTGCATTTCATACAATAAAGTGACAACCATAAGGCTCCTGCCGGTTATCAGATATCTTACAAAACATGATCATATCATTCAATAATGTTTATCTCATCATGTATTGACCATATCACATCACAACATGCCCTTCAAAAACAAGTTAGACGTCCTCTACTTTGTTGTTGCAAGTTTTACGTGGCTGCTACGGGCTTCTAGCAAGAACCGTCCTTACCTACGCATAAAACCACAACGGTGTTTCGTCAAGTTTGATGTTTTAACCTTCTTCAGGGACCGGCCACAGTCAAATTAGATTCAACAAAAGTAGGAGAAACAGATGCCCGCCAGCCACCTTTATGCAAAACTAGCCGCATGTCTGTCGGTGGAACCGGTCTCATGTGCGTGGACATGTAAGGTTGGTCTGGGATGCTTCATCCCACAATACTGCCGAATCAAAATAAGACGTTGGTGGTAAGCAGTGTGACTATCACCGCCCACAACTCTTTGTGTTCTACTCGTGCATATCATCTACGCATAGACCTTGCTCATGATGCCACTATTGGGAATCGTTGCATGGAAAACAAAAATATATATTCTACACACACGCAATGATCTATCCATGGAGATGCATAGAAATTAGGGGGAGAGTGTGTCTATGTACCCTCGTAGACCATAAGCGGAAGCGTTTCACAACACGGCTGATGTAATCGAACTTCTTCGCGCTTCAACTGATCAAGTACCGAATGCACGGCACCTCCGCGTTCTGCACACGTTCAGCTCGGTGGCGTCCCTCGTCTTCTTGATACACCAAGACTTCAAGGTAGTAGATGAGTTCCATCAGCACGACGGCATGGTGATGGTGATGGTGAAGTGATGTCCGCAGGGCTTCACCTAAGCACTATGAAAATATGACCGGGGGTGTAAATGGTGGAGGGGGCGCCGCACACGGCTAGGCAATTGTCTGATGTGTGTTAGGGAGCCCTCTCCTCACATATATATAGGTGGGAGGGAGAGAGGAGGCAGCCAGAAGGCGCCCATGTAGGCCGAATCCTACTTGGGGTCTTCCCATGGCTGGCGCCCCCCTGCCATATTTGCCGGAGGGGGAAGGAAAGAGGAGGGGGGAGGCCGAATCCCCCCTTCCATTTCTCTTCCCCTCTTTCCTTCTCCCTTTGGTTAGGCCAATATGGGGGGCGCACCAGCCCCTGGTGGCTGGTGCGTTTCCCCTCTTGGCCCATAAGGCCCATATCTTTTGCCGGGGGTGCCCGGAACCCCTTCCGGTGACCTGATATGTACCCAGTACCCTCCGGAACACTTTTGGTGTCCGAATATCATCATCCTATATATCAATCTTTACCTCTCGACCATTTCGAGACTCCTCGTCATGTCTATGATATCATACGGAACTCCGAACAACATTCGGTCACCAAATCGCATAACTCATATAATACTATATCGTCATCAAACGTTAAGCGTGCGGACCCTACGGGTTCGAGAACTATGTAGACATGACCGATACACCTGCCCGGCCAATAACCAATAGCGGAACCTGGATGCTCACATTGGCTCCTACATATTCTATGAAGATCTTTATCGGTCGAACCGTTATGACAACATACGTTATTCCCTTTGTCTATCGATATATTACTTGCCCGAGATTCGATCATCAGTATCTTCATACCTAGTTCAATCTCATTACTGGCAAGTCTCTTTACTCGTTTCGTAATACATCACCTTGTGACCAACTCCTTAGTCGTTTGCTTGCAAGCTTATGATGTGTATTACCGAGAGGGCCCAGAGACACCTCTCTGATACTCGGAGTGACAAATCATAATCTCGATCTATGCCAACTCAATAAACACCTTCAGAGATATCCGTAGAGCATCTTTATAATCACCCAGTTACATTGTGACGTTTGATAGCACACAAGGCATTCCTCCGGTATCCGGGAGTTGCATAATCTCATAGTCTAAGGAATATTTATTTGACATGAAGAAAGCAATAGCAATAAAAGTGAAAAATCATAATTCTAAGCTAACGGATGGGTCTTGTCCATCACATCATTATCCTGATGATGTGATCCCGTTATCAAATGACAACTGATGTCCATGGTCAAGAAACCTTAACCATCTTTGATCAATGAGTTAGTCTAGTAGAGGCACACTAGGGACACGGTGTTTGTTTATGTATTCACACATGTATCAAGGTTTCTGATCAATACAATTCTAGCATGAATAATAAACCTTTATCATGAATAAGGAAATATAAAATAACAACTTTATTATTGCCTCTAGGGCATATTTCCTTCATGGAGGTGGTAAATATGAAGTGTCAAACCCACAAGGAGCTAAAGGTAAGATAAATATTCTCTTAGGTCCTATCTTCCACTGATACAACCTAACGTACATCGAACATTTGCTTTTCCTATGAAATAAAACTATAAGTACTTTGCGAGAACGAAAAGAAGTTTTGCAAGGTAATAAATAACTTGTATATAAAAGTTAGGTGTTGTTTGAGTAAAAGTATAATAAATTAAAGATAACGAGTGGGAAAAAGTGGTAGTAGGATGTGCGGAATTATCCCTAGGCAATTAGCTAAGTTACTAAACAGATTATCATCATTGCAGTTTATTGGTGGGAGAGGCCTCTGCTAACGTAGTATTCATACTTTGAATCATATGTACCTATGATTGAAACATTAGCAAGCATCCATAAATACTAACATTGTTCCTTAAGGTAAACCCAACCATGCATTAACATATACTGGCCCCCTTCAATTCCATATGATTATGCATCAATTTCTACACTCAACCTCGGCAATATCTGACACTTTGGTCGCCCTATGCATAGTCCTATTAACATACTACTAACCCTAAGGTTTGATCCACACGCCGCTCATATGATGGGCACCAAAGGATAGCAACATAACCACATGCAACTCAAATCAATCATAGTAATTCACTAATTAATCCATAGGACAAAAATAATCTACTCGGATATAATAGCGATGAAATAAATCATTGGACAATAATTTATAGCATCAAACATCATGTTTAAGTAGGGGATTACACAGGTTTGCGGGAGAGTGGGCCACTGTATATGAACCTTTCCTTGACTAATCTTATTTATGTTTTTATGATGTAAATGTTATATGTGTGATGTGTTGATTTGTAAGCTTGTTATGTGATGTATTAGTGTTGTATCTTCTCATTTTGTGGAGGAAAACTTCTATGTTGTGTGTTGTATTTTTTATATGGTTACACTAATGATTTGTTTTACTTAGTGAATGAAATAATGGACAATATGGGCTAAAATATAGATGGGGTAGAGCAAGCCAAGGCCCATAGTAATTACCAATACAATAGATTAATAAATAAAGAGCTAGGTAGATAGAATAAAAATATTTGGATAGAAAATAATATAGAAATAAATTCGCCCATGGCCCCATAAATAATGCATTGGATGTACCCAAATATTTTGATTAAAAAATGGACCGTACTGATGGGATGCCACGTTGAATGCCACAATGGAGCCCACCTCATCGTAAATCAGTGATGGTTTATGTCAGCACATAGTCCTAGGACCTTGTCAGGGCTAAATGGGCTTAGGGAAGATCTTTGATGGTCAACAACCAAAACATGTGATGGTTTGGAGGTGCATCACGGCTTTCAAAATATGACAGTGAATACATAACGAATCTCAACAACCGTCACCAATACACTTGTGTGCCAGTTTTTTCGAGTGATATGTGACGGTTCAGGACCTCCATTCATCAACAAATTTCTAATAGTGTGCATTGTACACAGTTATGGTATAATTATTGTGCTTCATACAAATGCAATACATCATTATGCAACAATAATAGTGAACTTAACAGATTTGACTTCCATCCCTGGTTGTAGAGTTTCTGATTTTAATTACTATTGTCGCGTGAGTCATGAGACACACATCAAACATGTGGGAGTATACTGCTTGCATTATGCAGTTTCAGAAAGCATGCTAATGCATTTGTATGTTGATTATCCCTTCTTGACATGTTTTGAAAGCCTTGAAGCCGCATCCTTAATGTGCCTGAAAGACTCGACAAAGTCATCCAGAAGTTGAGTATAATTTGGAATTATTTCCTCATCGACTGACAGAATTACCTTAATAGTGCCATTGTAACTCTGATAGTGTACAATTAAAGCCTGCAAAAAGAAATGGTAATTAAATACAAAATCAGGCTGCAGATGATTAGAGTATTCTAGGTTTATTTCCAGTCTCTTTTATATTTTTGCAATCAATTTTTCTCTTATTGTTTCAAGGATCCGGGCTTAAATTTTTGTGTGTATATGCCTACCCAAGGTCAAGTCATCTCCTTAATTCAGGAGCCCTTAGTGATGAACTATTCGGAGAGATGTATATAGAGTTGCATCTAACCATTTGTTGCGTTTTGGGTTAAAGTTCACAATCTCAAGAAAGAGTGGAAATGCAACTACATAGTTACTCCTACTTAAACTTGTTATTTCATATCTCTATTGGCGAGAGGGGTGAGAGCACACACCTTGTTTTGAGTACTCTTTAACTCAAATTTGTTCCTTCTTATTGTATACATTGTGGTTCCTCCAAGGTGCATCCACCATTTTGGATATAAATGTACAACGAAGTATAAACTAAGGAAGCATATGTGGTTTTTGATGTTTTGAGTTCTGATTCTTGTTTTTTTTTGTTCTAGTAAACCGGATTAACTTGCCCAGACTTATTTCATAATTCATATGTACTAGAGTACTTATGTTTGAAAGCGCCGAATACCAATGTCCTTGCATTGTGGACAATGTGGTGGATGATTTGGGTTGACAAAAGTACAAATGTGGCTTAAGATTGAAGGTTTCGATGTAAGATCATGGCTGACTTACTTGTGGAATACCATAGAACTCTACTTGCTCTGTTGGTCCAACCATGTTCGAGAACGTAGTAGTTGTATTTGTGAGCATACGGCCGATGATAAAAGCACCTGCCTGCTTGGATTGTCAAGTTGAACAATTATAAAATGGAAAATAATAACTAAATAAAAGAAGTGTTAGTTTGCTAGACAATGAGTTGCTTAATTGTCTGAGTTTGATATTAGGAAAACATATCAGTACAAACGGGAAAAAGAAATACCTTCAGGCCAAACATTTTCACAAAAAGCTCGCTAATCTTACACGTGAAGATAACTTCAAGTGAGCTCTTTTTTCTATCCAGGGTCTTCTTTGCCTTCCGAACATATGCAAGTGGATCATCGTGTACCGCTAATTGAAATGGAAGGAGGATGTAGCCTATTTGATTTCCCCATGCCACATCATTATTTTTACCCGATACTATCATATTAACATATGTCTGCACATAGTTGTAAGAAAACATTACATTAAAGTTATGATGCACTACAAATTAATAATATATTCTCAAGCTTGCATTTGGAAACTAATTATGCATCAGCAAATGAGTAACGAAACTAGCTACTCCAAGAGTGACTAGTAATATACAATGTTTTTTCACCTGATCATGTGAACATATGTAAAATCATTAGTTTGTCATATTTTCATAGATACCATGATTTATATTCTTTTACTAACATAATCGTATGGATTTTATGACCAAATTTGCATGTTGGAGATTGTCCCGATGTCTGAAACGTCATCTAATTAGATAAGGAAGGAGGAGTAATATTTTGGTGACAGAGATATATAAATGAAAAAAAAATCAATAACTAATGACATGCATTTGAAACTTCATGCATATTTCCATAAACAAACTTACATGTAGGCTAGCTGTTGGCCTTGTATAGGGTAACCTAACATAATTTGAAGATAAGTTGCACAAACATGTACAGTAAAAACAACAAATCGTCAGAATGTACATCTCTTACCAGACTTACGAAAGTAATATTGTGATAGAGCAGCAGAAGTGACTCCGACTAGCACATCATTAACAGTCTGTGGAAAGAAAATAAAAATACAGAAAATGACGCTTCAGCGTCTAGTTTAACCTGACTCAAAAGAGATGAGCTTCCTGATATATATAGCTATACGTGATATTATCATATACTCCCTCTGTCCCATAATATATGACTTTTTTAACACTATACACAGTGTCGAAAAACGTCAGGTGGTATATACTTACGCAGTTCATGGCATTCTTGATGAACTTGACGTCGTCCAAGCTAAGGCTCCGGTGCACGAAGCGCCTGCGGGGGTTCAACGTAATTTCACTGTCCGCGCGTCTGAAGAGCGTGTTCGGGTCTCTCAGAAACACAATCGTCGCAGCAAAGAAGATGACGTCCACCAAGGTGTTCCATGCAAGCACGAGGTACGGCCAAACGCATGCGACGAATGCCGCCAGGGCTCCCGCGGGCAGCGGCTGCCGGTGTTGCGGCTCGTAGATGGCGCCCGTGCGCGCCGGCTACCGAGGGGCTACCAAGACTACCCATGGCTACTTTAGTTTCAAGGGTCGTTGGCTACTCGATCGATCGACACTCCATGCTAGGTGTAATATATAGGATGACAATGTTTTTTGCTAATAAAAGCGGCAAGTATGACAATCAATGGCACTACTATACACACAGTTGAAGATCATCATCGTAAGGGATCTGGAATCGTCCCTACCGGCTTGCTGCTGATGTGGTCCCACATTGCACACTGTTGTTCAAGAATAAACATCTGCGATGTGTTTCACATCACAAACAGATGAGCACAGTGAAGCATGCATTCAGTACCTCACTGAAGATGCTCTGCCTAGTTGAACCCATGCAACTACAATTTTGTGGTGTGCAATATCGAAAAAGGCTTGAACCCCGTTTTATAGATAAAGCAGCAACCGAGCATTACAGCATGACACTGCATCACACAACAAGGAAAATGCAAAGACAACGGTGCCGAGGATAGCAAACAAAGCCCCAGAAAACAACAAGCACACAACGAAAGAAAGAATTGAGCACTGCTTGGAGTCCCTGGGGCCCTCATCCACGATCAGGTAACCAGAGTAGAGAACATAATCAACTTGTGGGGAGACTAGACGGCAGAGGAGGCCATGTCATTGCCAACACTTGGAAGACAAGCACCACCATGCCAACAAGCTCCATCGCCAAAAGAAGCCCCCTGGCTGCTCGCCCTGGATCGAAGGGCACCGCACCGTCTAACGGTGAAGGCATGCACCCAAGTGCCTGGCCATAAACGGATGACGAGGTCCCAAGGTGAGGCCTTCGAACACAACTCTTCACTTGAAAGCATCACCATCACAACCATAGAACCATCAACGCTAAGAGAAGAAGCACAATCCACACCCAGACCTCGACCACCGGTAAGTAGGAACATAGCTCATAGGACAGAGCCTCTAAGAAGGGAACGACGCCATAGTGCCGCCACCGTCCAGTCCAACATGTCGGACCAAGGGTTTCACCTCGAGCCCAAGGAGGAGGAGAATATCCCAGGTGACGCCTCCAAGAAGGGGAACGACACTGAAGAGCATCACCGTCACCGTCGCCGACACCCTTGGGCAAAGTTTCTCTTGTGAGCGCTCACCTACCTCCCACAGCCCACCAGCAACACAAAGGTAGACAGATAGAGATGAAGACGAACACTCGAGAATAGGCAAGGAGAAGTAACGCCAACTCCCACCCACGAATGCCTCCCGCATGTATTTTCTCGCTGCCCACACGGTCAGGACAGAACAACAAACCTACACGATGACACCCGCCGCAAAGCAACCGCCAGCCCCAGGCCCGAAGAACCAACCTAATCTACCTCCAATCGAGAGATGGGTCGCAAATACGCAGCGAGTCGCCACCGCTCGCCACCACCACCGCCACCTCACACCGGAGACCACCTGATGACGGGGACAGAAAGGCACTGATCTGGGTCGGCCAGCAAGAACTCGACGCATCGGGGCCACCACGAGGACACCATTCATGGCCCGAACCCCCTGGTCAAAAAATGGAGGTGCATTGCGCCAATATACCCGTGCCTGGGTGGGCCGGCCCCTCCCATCCCAAGTCACAGAATATAGCAGGAACAGAGCCCATGGCCGTGCTGCCAAGCGCACACAACGCTGGAGGAGTGAAGGCGCCATGGACCAAGCGGAACACCACGGTCGCCACTAGAGTTAGATCCATGCCATGACACCTCATTAGGATGGGGGTGAAGCAAGGAGACGATGTAAGGGGAAGAGGAAGGAAGGAGGCAGGAGAGGACACTTTGCCACCACCGCGAACCGGCCGGCATCCACCAGTAATGAGGTGGAGAGCCTGGAGGGGGTGCCGGCGGTCTAGAGGAACCCTAGTCCTCCCCTGTCGCCCTAGAGCGAACATAAGCACAGATCACATATACTTCATTGATACTTCCCAATAGTATATACATTGACAAAATGTGTAATGTCGCATCCATTCATTCACAACCATTCATATGTTCACAAACCAGTATCTATGACATAGCCATCTAAACAAGTTCATAGCCATGAACCCAAAATGCGAACTAGTATAAATATTACAATGCACTAACAAAATCAAAGAAAAACCTTTGCTTTCTTGGTTATGCCGTTGCCTTTGAAAGACGACGTGTAAAACGGAAGAAGCCAATGTGTTTCCAGGACCCTAGACCCACGATGCCACCGGAGTAGCTCTATGTCCTCTATCCGCAACTCTCGGCTTTAGTTGCCATCGTGTGAATTTAATCAAGTCGTGTGGTGTGAAGCATGCATAACTTCAAAAGCGAAGTAATGACAATGAAATTATTTGGAGAACAAAAAAGATAGTGACCGTGAATAATCACGGGGAAAAGATAAGACTTAGAACCAAACCACAATTCTTTTTAATTAAAACCTGAGAAATCTAGGGCCTTGGTGATACTGCTACACATATCCCCACTACTGAACTTGATACCACAACAACTCAAGAATCAAAATGGTATATTGTAGGTGGTCGGGTCGTTCAGTGCTCCAAGGCCAAAGATGCCTGCTTGCCGTACTGCGTCAAGTTATCCTTATAAAGGACGAGTAAATTCGTCAATCGCATTTACCAATTTACCATGGTGCATACTAACATGATTCATGGTTAGTTGATGTTCGACTTCAAAGCTATTCTGTTTTCCCCACAAGAAAAACAAAGCTATTCCGTTTGAGCATGCACAGGTCTGGTTCCATCATAGAACAATAAGAATTTGATAGAAAGATGAGGTACAACACCTACCAGAAGATTAGAATATGTGGTGAGAAAATAGCATTATTTTGTCGCAAAACGCAACATTGCTTTTCCACATACGCAACAGAAGAAATGTACTACAATAAGAACATACTCTTTCGAGTGTATACATGTAAGAAGTTTTGTGCGGGCGAATTATATTTTTTGATACGAAAAATGCTAATCAAATTTTATACAACTGATGTGTAAAGTATTTTCATATGTAAGGTTCATTCGTGTGCTAGCTAAGCTGCTCTGATCATGGTGGTTGGAAAAGTAAAGAGGGCCGAAGTTTGAATGGAGCACATAACGAACTTCCCAGTACAATGATTTGTGAGTGATGGATCAAATCAGCCATTAGATTAGATCATTTCGAAAATCAGCGCCGTTTAAGGCATGCATCATTCATATTTCGTCCGTAGACTGTCACGTGCAGAGCAGTTTCTTAGTACAATTTAGGAAGAGACAGAAAGGGAGAGGTACGGACGTGTGGTACCCTTTCTTGGTCAGGTACACTAGACCGTTAGCGGTAGCTGCCCGGGCATTTAACCCATATCAACCTCTCCACCTTCCTATTAACAGTGCTCGCACCTATACAGATAGAGTCGAGCACATGCCTTGCGGCTTGTGTTTTGTTCACAAGGATGCATAATGTAGATAATTTTGCGAACACAATGGTTTTCTAGTAACTATTCCCTCCGTCTCATAATATACTAGTGTAAAAAACAATCTTATATTATGGGATGGAGAGAGTAGTTTCTAGCCGTGATCTTTTTAAACAATCACATAATCAGTTTCTAGTCGAGCACACGCCCATCCTTCCTAAAGCAACACTATCACTATGACAAATACTCCTAGTTCGATAAGGCTACAAAAATGAACAAAGGAAAGCTTATTTTTGCTATATATGGTTCGAATTCAAAAGTTTATAGAGACACGACAAAGGGAAACTCGCTACTAGTATAAAAATATCCATGTTCCTCTTCTGTGGATATCTTGTCATTGTCGTCAAGGTAGAGACATTTGCAGGAAGGAAACACAAGGTCGTTGTTGGTAGACAACACAAAAATTGAGGGGTAAACCATGATCAGTTTATTGCTCGATAATCACATGTTCAAATCAATTGATACATACATTCCAATGAAAGCACACACAG